GCCGGCCCTCCAGGCGCGCACGGCGCAGTGCAGGACGCCGTCCATCCACACGAGGAACCAGCTGATGCAGAAGCCCAGCAGCAGCCCCAGCATGAGGTCGATCTCCTGCTTGGTGACGTTGTCTGTCACGAAGTAGTTCTCGGAGGCGTCCACCACCGACTGGTCCCCGTCGTACGGGATCACGTAGTGGATGTGGTGCCTGGGGGCGGCAGGGCGGGCTGGCACCTGTCCCCCGGGGCGCGCGGGGATCCCTGCTGGGGTCTTTGAAGCAGCCCTTGTGGGAGCCGAGGTCCGGCCGGGGCCAGCGGACTCGCCCCGGGCCCCAGGCGGAGGCTGCCCAGAGGGTGGGAGTGTGCGAGGTCGGAGGTCAGAGTGAAGTCCGGGTGCCGGCCAGGGCTGCGTCTGCCCACGCATCACCCCTCCCGCCCCTGCCGGGCCTGGGGCTCATCGCTGACCCCGACGGGGCACAGGCACAGTGCAAGTGGACCGTCGTTCCAGGGTCAGGGCCCAGGGCAGGACCCTGTCCGGTGGCAGGGTCACAGCCCACCTGCTGCACGCGGGGCTGACGCGGCTCCTCCGGGACCACCCCTCTGGCCTCTCCCTCTGGCCTGTACTCACTAGCCCTTCCCTCAGCTTCCACTCCGCGCAAAGCCAACTGCTGTCATCCTGCCTGGGCCTCTGGCCTTCCTTTGGCTCCTCTGTCCAGCACCCTATCCTTCCATCCCGTCTCCTGGGGCGCACCCTGGCCTGTGCCCTACATGGATCTGCAAGTCCTTCGTCCGCTCTGCAGCTCCCGTGGGTGACGGACAGTGGGTGAGATGACAGTGTTTCAGCTGTCCGGGGATCTCTGGACCACGGCCCCTTCCCTGCATCCCAGCCCCCAGCCTGTGCCATGCCTCTCAGCCTCCCCTCCCTCCACTGGCCAGACAGGCCACTGCTCCCTCCAGGCCCTTGCTTGCCTCTGAGGGCCCCTCAAGTCTCAGACCTGCCTGGATTCCCTCCTCCTCCTGGAAGTCCTCTAGGCCCCGTGATCCCAGGCGGAGTGGCCCTGCCCAGGAGACCACACTCAGGACAACAGACTCTTGGGCTCAACCCCCTAACCCCTCACTGTCAAGAGAGCCTGTGAGCCAAGACACAGTGGGGTCCATGCACCCTTAGCTCCCGGTCATCCTTGTCAACTACTGCAGCCCTTCCTCTTGTTGGGCAGTGCAGGGGCCACCCTGGGGTCCTCCTGCTCAGGAGGCCACCTCTCCTGGTTTGACAACCCCTCCCCCAGCCCCTTTGCTGGCTTCTCCAACTCTCCATCCCCACCCCCTAAAGTTCCTGCCGCCCCACACGTCTGTTTCAAGCTCCAGCTGCCTGCCTGGCGTCTCCATGTGGGATCTACAGACACCTCAAACTCACACCTAAAAATAGCTCCTCCCTCCCCAAACCTGCTTCTCAGTTAGATGCCGACACCTCCGCCTGGTCTCCAGTGGAGATAGGTCCTTACTTCCCCACACCCCACCTCACTCCACTCCCCCCCAAAAGAGACCTTCCCCAAAATGGAAACCCTACCAGTTCTCCCTGACCTCAGGCCCTGCTGCACCAACATGGGCCACAGGGTGACTTTCTTCCATGGGTCCAGGGGGGTCCTGGAGCCCCAGACCCAGACCAGCGGATGGCAGCAGGCAGCCCTCTTCTCACACCCTCTCCTGCTCCTCCTTGGGGGCCCCTGGACGCCATGGTGCACAGCATCTCCAGAGTTTGACCAGTCCCAGTGGCTGGGACCTCGGCCACCACACCCCCACAGAGCAGGGGCCACCCACCCTGGGTCAGTCAGCAAGAACTGTCTGACACCTGGCAGCCATTGCTTATCTAATCAGTTTGTCAATATCCATTATGAATCATCAATAAGTGATAGAAAACTGTTGATCACCACCTAGAATGTGCAGCAGCTTCCAAGCCCCCAGGAGAGGACACCCTTCATGACCCATTAGTAGTCCCTGTCACCCAGGGCACCCCAGGCCTCACGGGGGCCGATAATACTGAACATCATCACCCTCTCCTGCCTCCCCAGCCTTCTGGGCCTAGGACATCTGATGGGGTCATCAGGACCACTGCTTCCTACTCCTGGACACACAGCTTGTCAGGGCAGGACACTTCAAAGACTGGGTTACCAACGGAGCCAGAAATGCCCCTGGTGCTCTGCAAGAAGGGTGAGGCCAGGTCCAACCACCCCAGGTGGCTCAGGACCCCCAGGGGCTGGAGGGCACAATCTGTGCCCCCATCTCCGGCCTGGCACCTGCAACTCCTCCCCTGCCCCTCGTCTGCTTCCTTCCTCCAACGCAGGGCCCTGGGGGCAGGGGCTAAGGTCTCCCATATGCACACGTATTTCCATGGTGGGTACATACATGTGTCCTACCTGGACCATGCATGCTGCATGTGTTTACCTGAGGTCCAACGCATGTTGTGTATACACGCCGGCCACATGCACAGGACATGGCGTGTATACAATGGACTCGGCCCATAAGTTCCACACGTGTGCACGTGTGTGCTTGCCCAGGCACAAGCATGGTGCGTATCACACGGAGATGCACATGCATGTGGCTTTGCACACAGCCATCCTCTCCGTGGGCACCGTGGCACATGCATAGATATGTGTGCACAGGCACCACCTGCTGGCACGCACACTTTGGAGCATTAATTTACATACATGTCCTCTGCATAAAATTTTGTCTAGGCATGTAGAGGGCATACACATATGTGCATGCTTACTCTGTACACGCTGTGCACACACATGGGTAGAGTCTATGTGGCAATGCATGTACATGTTTTATACACGGGTACCCCATGTGCAAAACTACTCTGCAGACAGTCGCTGGACCCACATGGAGCACATTGGTCGCTGTATATTGCATTATATACATGTACTGGGCATTCACATGTATGTTGTCAATAAACAAGACTATTTTGTACACTGAGTTTACATATTCTGTATGTGGTGAAGTGTACAAAGCACACACATGTGGACACATACATGCAGAAACACTATGTCTATAGCAGGTGTGGCTTTCCGTGTTCTCTGCATCGACAGACATGCTAACCTCTGCACACAGGCCCAGCTCATTGTGTACCCCAAGGACATCTGTTTACATGGGTCCACATGTACTCTGGACACTGCATATGATGCACACACGCCCTGTGCAAATACACTGAAAACACCTCCTGTCTGTCCTCAGTACATAGGTGCCGGTCACTATACAACAGCCCACACACATGTGAAATGTGTGTTACTAATGCTTCCAGAGCTGGGAGCTGGGGCCCGGTGTTGTGCACACCACCAGTCCCGGGAGGGTGTCCAGGTCACCCCAGTTCACACCCACTCACAGTTATGGCCACCCCAGGAGGCAGTGGGCTGACCCCGGGCCTCTCCTTAGTGTGGGGCCCTGTGACCGAGGCAGGAACACAGGGATCTCTGGGAAGGTGCGGCCACCCAGGAAACGCTCTCGGTGGTTCTCGGCCAGCCCACGCGAGGGCTGTTTGCACTGCCGCCTCCACCTGCTCCAGTGCCCGGCCCTGCCTCAGCACGCCGGCCGGCACCCACAGGCGTGGAGCCTGCTGAGTGAGGCATGAAGCCCGCTCGACTCTCATCCCTCACGCCCACCATGTGTGCACACGTCTGGAGCAGGAGTCCAGGTTGGGGGTGAAGAACACAGGTTCTGGGGTTCGTGCCCTGTTCTCTCACTAGCTGCGTGACCTTGGCCAAGTTTCTATCCGCTCAAGCCTCTGTCCCCTGTCTCACTGATCCCAGCACGAGGGTGTCCCGTGGGGGCGAGGGTGTGCATGCGGACATGCGTGTGCTGTGTGCCCACATGTATATGCAGAGACGGTACACACACTCGCGTCTCATGAGATGTTTATTTCGTACATGGACGTACAAACATGCATGGCCAGGAGGACGCCGTCGTCACGTGCACAGGATGGGGGGTCACAGTGGGTGGAGGGCCAGGGCTCTCCAAGCTCTCTGAGTGACCTTGAGCAAGCTCCACCCCCTTGCCTCAGTTCCTCCTCTGTACAACGGGGGGACCGGCTGCACTTCCCTGTACCTGGCTCCCAGGAAAGTTCATGGACACAGTGCAGGGTCCAGGGTGGAGGCTCGTGTGCTCCGTGGGCACAACCCTGTGCAGGATCCCTGCCGGACGCCAGGCTGGGTTGCTGCTTTCTCGGCCTCCAGGCCCTGGACCAGGAGGCCTGGGGCCTGTTCTGCCCATCACCCCCTCTCTGAAGGCGTTTTGGGAGGGGGTCCTAACTGGCTCGCGCATGCTCCCCCGGCCCGAGCGCGACTGGCCAACCCCCAGGTGCCCGCAGGAGGCTGGACAGTCCTTCCCCCACCGGGCCTGGCGGGGACTCAGCAGCCCCTTCGGCCTAGAGCGGCCCTTCGCGGGCCTGCTCGGGGCGCCCCGCACCCCAGTGGGCCCTGAGCGCCACACATGCGTGATCACGCGTGTGCCCCGCCGGGCGGACTCACCGGCCGCAGTTGCAGTGGCAGACGCGGTCCTCGCCCCGCAGGTGCGGCAGGATGTAGTTGTGGAATCGGTCCAGCAGCGCGTTCATGTCCATCAAGCACGCGATGGCCTGGAGGAGCCCATGGCCCGTCAGAGCGCAGGAGCCGCAGGGCCGGGGTGTCCG